TCTTGTGTGTCAAATCATTAACACAAATTTTGTGTAAAAATTTGACACAAATAGTTGAGTAGACAGTTTTGGACATGTGAAATGTGTTAATTTTAACACAAATTTTTTATCTGTGTATGAAGAGTCTTTAGAGAGATTTGTTTTTAGTAACATTTATCATTCACCAAGTATTAGTCATGATAAGTTTATTTAAAGATTGATTAAGGAATGTGAAATCTTAGTTGATTACGGTGATATTATTTTGTATAAGGATTTTAATATTAATTTATTAAATGTTAATCAGCATAAAAAAAGTTAGGAAAAGAGATGAGAATTCTTGACCTTGATCGACCAGTCAGTGAGTCAACTCGTGTAACGAAGCACACTGAAACTCTTATTGGTTTAGTATTTAGTAATTATAATGTAAGAGCTTCTGCTCTTTGTAATCATACATTAACTGATCATTTGACTGTGTTAATTAATTATAATATTATATTTATGAATGATTGTAAGCTTGAAAAGATGTATGCACAAAATTATAAATTAAATGCATAAATTATGAATTGTTATAAACAAAAAAAGTATGTTCTCATTTATGTCATACGGTTGGTTATATTTTTTTAGTAAAAGAAAAAATTATGCGTTAAAGGACTCATATATATAGAAGGGGTCCCTATTTTCATTGTTTATAACATACACACACACAGACGTCCACTGGAAAACGATCGTATTCGACTCTGGGGACCTTAAAACGTGGAGATATGTCAAAATTCGAGATTCGCAAAATCGGACCCATTACTATAACTTCCTACTGGGAAGTTAAAAATGTGGGGTTCAATTAATGAGTCGTTGAGTATAAAATCTAGTAATAATATTTCTAAGAGTTTGTTAATAAATGATAAAAGCAAAAAATGTGTAGCAGATTAACAGTGTTGATGAAATTGTAAATAGTATTGCTGATATCAGTAGATTTTTTTAAGTTAACTTACGAAAATTCTTGTATTTTTAGTAAATTTAAAAAGTAGACTTTGACTATGTAAATAAAATCGTCAATAGTATCAAAAATAGTAAAGGTAATAATGTATTATTTCCGGGTTATGATGTTAAGTAAATTTGGTTTATAAATTATAAAATAATTATGGATATGATAGCTAAAAAATTACTAACCATGTGACATACATAAAAAAACTCTATTTGTTGATTACGACTAAATTTGTTATAGATAAATAAAAACGGAATCTATGCAATTAATTTATATTCTTCCAACGGGATATTTTTTTTTACTAAAAAAAAGTTATTAACTTTGTTTTATGAATGAAAATGGACTTTTTTAGCTTATAATAATTGAATTTGTTACGAACATTAATTGCGAAACTTTATCTAAATAATAGAATCATAATTCTTATTTTCACTGTTTTTCATTAATACACAGAAATTTATTACTTTTTGTTCTGTTTTATCACCGAGTATTACGTATCGGGAATTGGGTCATTTAAACAACGAAATTATTATTCAAAATTTTACTCAATCAATCGATTTTTATATAACGTGTTCTGACTTAGTCGGGAGTATTTCATCTATATCCTGACATTTTTCTCCCCACCTAGTAATTAGACAACTCAAGGTCTCTCCTATCAACTCATCTATAGTGATGATTGTGAACTCATCAGGCAGCCTGACTTTCATCAGACATCATCAGTAAGCTCACGTTGGTCCACATCAGCACCTTCTTACAAACGGCGCGAACGATGTCAGCTTCGACTTCTTACGGCCTCATGGACAGACACACACAAACAAGATCCACGCACGGACAACTCGCTTGTGTCTGTGTGGCTGACGCCAACCCAATGTAAATTCAGACTACTCAAAAAATCCAGACTACTCCTGGTGCAGATACCAGCACAGGAAAACTTACAACTTTCCTGTGAACTTCTACTCAACAGTGAACTCATCATTGAACTCGTTATGTGCAATATCAGTTAACTCTTCATCAGGAATTTTAGTGAACTCAAAGCTGTTCGCAGAGAATTCAAAGACTCAGTTTTTCAGTGAATCCATTTTATACAGTTATCAGACAGATTCTCTAATCATTATTTTACTTGTTACTGTTACGTTAGTGGTTAATAAATAGTTATCTGTTGTTGTTAACTGAAGTCAGTCGATTAATTTACACCCGTTTAACAGTCCCGACTGTTCTAGCATCCAAATATCCGAAAAAATACAGTCCACATAATTTTGATTACTGTCCACCTGTAATCTTTTGTTAAACTTAATTTCTTTACCCCGGTAAAAATATTGGTATCACTTTGACTTTGATTAATCATCTTACATTAACTTGTCTTGCTGTAACCATCAAAAACAAGACGATATCTGTCTTCGGCGGATTACCAGTGATCGAAAAAATCGTGGAACAGACAATTGAAGACCAATTAGTTGACTTTTTAGATTCAAATAATGTTTTAAAACAAGAACAGTCAATAACAATAATAACCGCAAGACAAAATAACTGCGGGTAAAATAACCGTTATTTTGTGATTATGTAGAATATGCAATCCCGTATTTAACGGCAAAACCAAGCGAATCGTCTCTTATTCTGTAGGATTTTCAATCTTGGGTTTCCTTGTATTGTAACAATAGTATTGCTTATGCGGCAAGTTCAAATTTATTTGATATTCCCTGCGTCTCGAACGAACGCCACTCACTGGTGGCGTAATACATAAGAAATTGGTATTTTGGTTATTTGAATCGCAGTTATTTTATCGGGTGGTTATTTTGTCACGGTTGTTTTGTCCGCGGTTGTATATATTGTATATATTTGTTAATTTCAAACGGGCCTTTGAGACTATTGATACTAGAAACGGTGTATAAGTGTGGAATTAGGAGTACACTGCTGCAACAGCTATATTCTCACTTGGACCAAAGAACTCAGCAAACTCAAATACATAATATACTATTTAATAAAAAATTGCTTGAGCATTGTGTGCTACAAGGCTCAAAATTAGGTCCACTGTTATTTATTCTTCATATAAATGATGTTGTACACTTATTAAAAGGAAATGAATGCAATTGTAGACTATTTGATGATGATCTAATAATTTCGAAGAGTGGTACCTATATTTAGGAAATCGAGGAATCAATTAATAATACCTTGACTGAACTAGAAACATTTTTGAAAGCCAACTCGTTAGCTTTTAATCTGAAAAAGACTGTTTTCATGTTAGTGCATGATAAAAGAATAAAGAATGTGAATAACTAATGTATAATAGTGAGTAGTAATAGAAATATAACTGAAATTGATAAAACTAAATATTTAGGTACAATATTAGATAACGATTTACAATTTGATGATCATGCTAAGTATATTTTAAGTAAAATCAGTCAGAAAGTAAGTTGTCTAGGTAGATTGAGGTATTCATTGAGTAGTTTTGCAAAGTTAACAATTTTTACGTCTGTGATAGCACCTTATTTCGAGTATTTTGGATCTATTCATATTCATTTAAGTAAAGAATATATCAATAAATTACAAATTGTACAAAATCGAGCTAGGCGATGAATACTGAACGTTAATAAGTACACGAGGATAAGTGATATGTTTGAGACATTAAGATTCTTGTTAATTGAACAAAGAATAAAATATCTAGTATTCATGTCCATCTATAAGATTGTCAATGGTAAATTAATAGAAATCTCAATGATTTGTCATTTAGAAAAAGACAGACGAAGAGTATGGAAAAGTGTTCGAATTTCTATGGAATTCTATTATACAATAAACTTGATAGTAAAATTGGGGATCATAAAAGACTAGCTAATTTTAAGAGAAATCTATTGACAGCAATAAAAAACAAAGAATTATAATTATTTGTGGTAAATTTGGAAGTTTATACTTGGAATTAAACTTAAGTTTGAATTTATAATGATTATATGTAATAATTTCATGTAAATTGAAAGTCATATTGTAGCATATGTTTGTCAATAAATCTATATTTATTCATTCATTCGAACCTGAATCTTACGATGAAATTAGAATTTTTTTTCTGAATTATAGTGACTATTTGTGATTTTGAGAAAACTGCCTCAAACTAAACTCAGAGATTCATTTGCGTGCTGTTTAAACGTAAATGACTTAACATGAATGGAAACAGACTATTTTTGCTCATAAAAATTGAATTCGTTTAATATATACTTGAAAACCTGAGCAAATTGGAGCTTTACGAACTGGATTCTTACTTTCGAGGGAGCAAAGTTACTAACCACGTAACATGAATTAAAAGAAATTTTGTTGATAATAAAAAAAATCAGAAGCAGAAATCGAATCTCACGATATAATTCAAATTTTCTTCGTCCATCATCAATATTGACGAATTTATTATTTTTCTCTCAATACCATCACCAAGCAATATGTATCTATAATTGACTCATTCAAACTATGATCTTACCATTCAAAATTTTCCGAATAATCTATTGTGATGTAGAATAGATATGCACTTTACGCCAACGAAGTTGCGGGACTCAGCTAGTATATAATAAAATCAGTAATATCGTTCTAAATAAATTTTTCTATTATTTAAAGCATGTGCACTAAATTATGCATCTTGATTTTCAACATTACTACACAATTTACATATGAAGTATAGTCGCAAATAGTCCATTATATTATAATTTGTGGTTAATAGTTATCGTTTTTATTTTAATCATATAATTTATTGTATAGTTTTTGATCAATAAAAAAAAAAGTGATATGCGAGAAAATTTAATCAATTTTGTCATATATAGGATTTCTGTAAGTGAAAAATGTTTGAAGAGAAAGTCAAATTTCCACGAAAAAAAATAAAATGAAGTTCTCCGTAGTCCTACGAGAAAAACATTGAAGATCATCCATACTATAGAATATTCGGGAAATGAAATTTACTATATAAGAGATAAAAATAACACACTTGTATTTATAAAAATTAGCGAAAGAGAAAAAAAATGGATTAATTAAATATCTAATAACAAAAAGAATAGAGAGCAAAGAAACTTACCAACTTTTTCCTCAGACGGTGCATCGGTATTACTTAAACTTCTAGCAAATTGTCCTCTTTTAGAATGTCCACTACATCCATTTTCAGAAGTCCCCTGATGTCTCAAATTTTTTTCATAAGATCCACTAGAACTGTTGTAGTCATTACTGATTCGTTGATCGTGAGAATCACCATCATATTTTCCATCATCAGTTGGTAATGATTGTGAGCCATTTATGTCGTCAGCAGCAAAATTGTCATCGTCATTTCGTGTCGCGTTTCGTGATGGGAGTTCATGGTAGACGTTCGCCCGTGGGTTTTTAGCAGTGTCAGAGGTAGCGGTTTGGGAATCAAAGATATTCAAATTAGCATTACCAGGGCGGGGTGCTCGGTTTTGGGGCCTAAATGAATCGTACGGGCCAAATCCGCAGTTCTCACTGCATTGGCTTTCGCTTTCCATTGAATACTCATAATATTCCAGCGTATCACTAATAGCAACATTTCTTTTACTTCCTTGCTCTCTTTGAGTCGATTCAAATGATATTTGTTGAGGCATTTTGAGCTCAAGATCTCGACAAAGTGAACATCGATGTTCTTTATAATTATAGTCGATTTCATTCATTCTCTTTGAATGCGATTCTTTATTTGGACAAGTTGTATAAAAATTTTGGCACTCAGGACAACTTGTTTTTCGACTTCGAGCACTTAGATTATGAGCGCTTTCTTTCAGATATGGACCTGGATAAGAACCCGAACGATCTGGCCGTAATTTTCTCTTCAAATAAATATCATCTTCTAAAGGATATCTCTGTCGTGATAGCTGTTTCTGATTCAAATTTTCAATAAAGTTTTCTCTGTCATCAGGACCCACTACTGTTTCGATGGAACCGAAATCTTCATCAGAATTCATAAACATGCTTGCTAAACCCTTTTCTCGATGTGAACTTCTTACGTTTGAATTTCTTTCATCGCGAGTTTCAGAACAGCTACTATTCCGATGTCTCTTCAGTAATTCCTGATATTGTTCCCATGTTAATTCTTGCTGCTTATCAGTAATCAACACGGGCGTAGATTCTGCTCTCTCTAAAATTGCTCTCTTATCTTGTGGATAATTTGGCTTAATAAAGTTTTTCATTTTATTTCCATTAAAATTAAAATGCATACCTCCATCACTGTTTCGATAATCTTCTAAATTACTATAAATGTTCTCTCGGAGAAAAGGTACAGATTTATCTTCAAGACTTCGTGATCTTTCACGAACTTCAGGTAAATAATATGTACGGGTGAATATTTTGTTATGATATTTAGAATTTCCTTTACATGAGGAATGAAGACCTAAATGAAATTTATCTAAATGACCTTCAGAGCTGTTAGCTCTCTTTGGCATCAACTGTTTGACGTCATAACTACTGGAAATGCTTTTATGTTTGTCTTGAACAACTTTTTTCTTTGAAATATCTATACTAGCATTCAAAACATTAAAATCATTGTTGTAAAAATCACTAGGGTTATCTTCAATACTACAATAGATGTGATCATTTTCAAGCAATCCATAAAGATGTTCTTCTAATGTTGTTGTTCCTCTATCTGGAGATACAGTTTCATCTGCATTTGAATTGCTATTCAAAAAATTACAAAAGTTATTACTATTTTTGTTGATTTGAACATTCGATCTGGTGCTCACATGTTCATCAATAAATTGGTCAAAATTCGAAAGAAATGATTCCCCAGAATACGTACAACACTCATATTTTTCTTCAGTATCAAGAACGCTCTCTGAATTTTTCGAACTATCTTCGTTAGAATCATAGTAACTTCTACTAGAATCTTCTATTTTTGGTAACTTTTCACCTAATTCAGCCATATTTTTTTTTATTTTTTTTCTTGCCGTTTTCATACTATCATCACTAAAAATATCCTGTACCATGTCGTATTCGATATTTTTTATGCTTCTAGGAAGTTCTGGATTTCTAATCTCATCATTTATATCAATAAAGTAGTCATTAGCCTTATCACCATTATAATTCGAGATTTTTGATTTTAAATATGGCAGAAATGGAATGCTACTAGAATGTTTCATTCTAGTGTTCAATAGATGTTGAAATCGTAATTTTGTCGTTTTAGCACGAACAATATCACTACATGTATCGTCACAATTATCCACAGAATGACGTTCAGAAGAAATATCTCCGATAACTTCATTTTCACTTGTCTTAGAGTTGCTGTACTTCATAAGATTCTCATCAATGGTTTGAGATTTTACCATAGGAATACGATTTTTTTCATGTATCGAGCGAACAACTGCAGATTTGCTCCGTACGAGAGAAGAGTGAGGGCTAGAGGTAAGATTGTGATGTTTATTGAAGGGTTTCCAGAGTTTACTGGAGACGCTATTATTACTAATTAGGTAGTGACATTCACTAGAAGGTAATTTAGGTTTGTGCCTGCGCCTACTGCGCCTAAAAGGTGAAGGCAAAGGAAATATGGCTTTGGGAATCGACATGTTCTTAACTGTCGATCTGCAAATAATTTTTCGTAGATTCAATTATTCTCTGCTATTTTTGTTATAAACATGATATTCATTTTTCATTCTTCTGTCAAACGAAAAGTTAAAATTACAATGTTGCTTCGGTATGGAGTGATATTACTTTTGTGTGTGAGAATACGTAAAAATAGACAAATTTGTTTCACTCCATACACATATAAAAAAATAAATTTGAAATTCTATTTGAAATTAATAATAGTGAATCATTTTAATGACATGCTTGAAATATTTTTTCATCTTAATTGATATTTAGGAATTGTAATCTATATTGTACAGACTAGTCATTTTTGTCTTACAAATTATACAATGGACATTGAAATAATTCAATATAAATCTAATGGATCTAGTTCATGACATCAAGAAAGAATAAATCAGTAAAACGTCAAATGTGGAATAAGACACTGTCTAAAAATGCTTTCTCAATTCTATCCAATGAGAATATAGAGTATTACAAAATTTGCACAAAGTAAATACATTAGGATGTTGGAACAAAAAGTTTTTCTGTAAAAACTTTGTTTGATAAATGTTTTAACTCATAAAGAAATGTAATTGACTAATCATATGTTATCAGTCGGCAACAAGTTGCTAAACGTTGCACAATGCGTAATAATGACTTTTTTTTTTAATTATTCAAGTAAATTTTTTTACCCATCAGAATACCAGTTAAAGTTTTGAGTCAATCATCAGTACTAGTGCAATTCGAAGTCAACAGAAACATTCGCCAGTTCATTCTGGAGTCAACTCGAGAAATATTTCAAGACAATTCAACGTAAATTCGAGTATTTTAATTCAATTAATTTTTTGCATTGCATTGATAGGCTAACGCCACGTGCACAATCACATCTTCTTGACTTGTGAAGTGTGTTGCGCTCGTGTTGGAGGTCAATAATACCAAACACACCAAGTTAAGCATTTATCAGACATTCAACAAAAATTCAGTAAATCGAAAATTGACATTCAGTGATTTCGATCGACATTCAGTCTTCTTATTCAGTAACAAAAAGTTTGTCAGTGTATTTAGTGTGCCTGTTAGTGCTGAAAATAAAGAAATTTTATTTTTTTATAAAACCTGACTTCCGTTTGCTCTGTTCCGGCACAATCATCCCTATCCTTAAACGGTTAGGTTAATTCATAAGTTGAGATTTTCTCAACACTACGGATTATTTCTCTTATTTCATATTCTTAACATAATCCAATTTTTGAAATATTTAAAAAACGGTCTGTAATATTTATTTTGCTGGATAAAAATATTAATAGTGTGACAAGACGAGTCTAAGTCCATTGTCTATTTCGGACAAGTGGCGCCATCCGTGCCGGCTAGAAGAAAACCCGAAGCAACAAACAGTCATGTCGCCCTCTCTGGGAGACTTTCACTTGCTGTTGCAGCACCACTTCAACTACAGTCAGTATCATGGGAACCTGCTTGACCTACCAAGGTCAAATGAAGAATAACAACCTACAGAATATTCCACTAGTCAGCGCTTCGGTCGAGCCAAGGGGCGGAGCCAGAAGATGGTGGGAGATCCCGCCAGAATCACGCTACTACTTCGACGCACGAGCGGAGAAACGCAGTTAAACGCTAGAGTTGAACGCCAGAGTTCCGTTCGAGAGTACGAGTGTCCAAAAAGGCATTATCTACGACGCAGCCAGACAACCGAGTTGGAACGCCAGGGTAATTCCCCGCATGCACAGCAGGTTAGCAGCAGCCGCGATTCCTTTCCATCGAAGTATCATCAGGGTGAGCTCGGAATAATTATACTGTACCTATAAGAAGGGCATAGGGTGAGCCCCTGAAATTATTATAATTGTAAATGATACTTATTGGCCCTTCTGGCAATTGTCTTGTTTTGTTAACGCCGCAAATTAAACCAGTACGATCAATTATTGTAACGCGTGTAATAACAGGTCCGCTTCAGGTCGCGGATTGGTGAATCCTGCGAGTTGTACGCAGATATCTTTGAATAAAGTTCCGATAATAGTATTACTCGTAGAAGACAATTCCCTAGGGTTAAAATCCTCCTGTCCATTGCATACAAATTTACAGGAATTGACTTCAGAACCTCCAAGGGGATACTGGAGACCTCCGACGAATATCATCAGCGTGCCGACAGATATCTCTTACACCCGCATTCTGCGTGCGTGGTGCAGCTCATCGTCGTTACCCAAATTTCATAGTATTTGCTCGTCGTATTATTCTCTTGCTTCATACATATATTCTCTCGTTACAATTTTCTCTCGCATAAATTACTCTACCACGTTGAAATCGAGGAATAAGGTAAGTGAGAAACTACCTATATATATATATTAAGCAGAATCATAAAAATTGCATTTTCCATTCTATTTGTCTACTTCAAAATCCTAGACCCTGGATAACCCGGCTATTCCGTATAAATAATAAAAAGCTTTTCGTTACGACGAAAACTTCTCTGAAGTGGTTGAGAGTAGATCCTAGAGGAGAGAGCCAGAGAAAAACTCCATCAAACTTTTCCACGCTTTCTCCCGGCGCGTTTCCTCATTCCACAAATACCTACCAGTCCCCTAAAGACTTCCCTCCACCTTCAAAATAGAACAGGAACTCCTCAATTCCCTAAAAATCCTAACCTTAACCAACCTTCACCATAACCCCCTTACTTTTCTACGCTCCTCTCCCATCTATCTATATATATTATATTATATACATTCCATATATATCAATCACCTTTCTTCTCCTGGTGTGGAAATAACCCTCTTTGCCAGGAGAAACCATTTCAATAGATAAAAAAAAAAGAGATCGTTGTAGTTCTTGACGAAAAGCCCAGAAACTTGTCACTAACTGAAAACACGCGAATTGTCAATCACATCTCTTTATGAATTAAAAAAATATTTGTCGAACGAAGTTTTTGTGAAGGAATTTTCTATTTCATGTCATCAAAGTAACAGGTTGATGTACTTTTTCACGAGAATTTTTTAACACCACGTAAAAAGGAAAAGATAAAAATAATAATATTGAAATAGGAAAACAGAGATAAAGAAGACCATCTATTCATTACACAAAAACAGGATCCAATAGTGCATCTACAAGGTTTCTATTTCATTTTCAATGTCCATTTGGATGTAATCTTACTTTATATGCAATCGAAATAATTTTTATTGAATTGACTTTAATTACCGATTAATTTTGAATAAATTTCGAGTTTCTTCATGGAAATCTCGAATTACTCGGTACTGTATTTAAAAATCAAAAGTACTCACATGAGGGCTTTAGATCCTCTTGGCCTTTCCGATTGCGTGCTAAATGCACTACTTGCTACGGAAGCAATACTTTCCATATCAGAATCACCAAAGTCTCCCATAACGTCTTTATCAGGACTCAAATGACTTCGTCGATGCCTTTGTAATCGATGAGTATGGGACAATTGTTGTGGTTCGTGGCCAATTAGAAGGAGATCAGAATCTGATAGACCACTGTAATGCCTTTCCCATACTGAAATTCAATGAAATTAAAAATAATCATAACTTTTCACGAGAAATATATGGATGTGTCGAGCGAACAGAATAAAAAATAACATTGTTTACTCGATTACCCAGTATTGAAAAAATCGACAAGTGCATAGTCTTCGTCTCTATGAAAACAAATGGGAAATTAATATTTTAGATTCAATCACTTACAAAGAAGGTATTTCGAAGCATCACCAACGATTGTTCTGAGGCTGATACATATTACTGGATAATCAATTTTAAGAAATAAAGTTATTTTTTAAGATGCGTATTTTTTAAGATAAAATGAGCTCCAAAAGATAACCACCGTACAAGGAATTATAAAGGTTAAAGTGACTATGGAATAAACTTATATACTAATGATTGTTTTCTGATACGATTAATCAAATTTCTATTGAAGTTCAACAAAAAATTTCGAATAGATTTAATTTACTTGCGCTTTATGAATTTTTATAGAATGGAGTAAAAATCTACCAATATTATTTTCCAATAATTTTTTTAAAGATCTAATACAACTTGTTTGTATAGATTGTGAGATAAATAATAAAAACAGAGTTTTACGATGTTACTATTCAATCTCTGTTTTTAATGGCAAGTAAATTTCACTGATTCTGATATACTCATTTACAACTACAATACTTAATTAATTCACTAATACTTAAAGAATAACACATAAAAAACGGTCATAAATTTTTATATTGAGTACGTTCGTTGAATCTTAATTTTGTTTGGTGAATTCTTCTGGAAAGCAACAAGAAAAATTTCTATTATTTCGATGAAAATGTGTAGAAAAAAAATTTAAAGTACTTATTAGATTCTTACTAGAACTGGAATGAATTTTTTCTTTAAAAATCAATAAAAGTCTATGAAAAACAGAAGAATAAGAATGTATTTGAAGATTGCATCAGAAACATTACCTACGTTATAAGAATCTACGAGAATTTATTTGAACAATTATTAAATATTTAATAATTTATTCATTCACTTAATTGAATATATTCTACGGATTATTTCTGCAATAATTATTTCAAAGATTCTACATCTTTAAGTATCTCATGTCAAAAAATCTACAGAATCTTATTTACCACCTATCCCAGTACTTCTATAAGTTGTGTGAATTGGGCGATGTTGATGTCTCATAAACCTATACTTCCCAGAATCATCTTGAACCAATCTTTCTCTCAATAATGGTGTTTGTGGCAGTTGACGTTTTTTCGGAGATCCCGTTGGAGTTGCTGTGGCTGATCTTGATCCAAATCTATGCATAGAAACAATATATTTCATAATCAAATATAGTTGTACAATAAAAAATCATCGATTAGTCAATGATTAATTAGAATCACTGTATACTAATGAAATTCCTATCAGGAGTAACTGTTTATCACTCACACTGTCACATCTCCCGTCTCCACCTATTTTCTATTTGTCTTGCCTTGTAAATTTCCAAATTGTTGGAACGACAAATTACTCTTTTATTGACCATATAAATCATAAATGAGCTTTTATTTAATTGCTAAATCATAATTTTTTACATGGTTTGTTACTTTATTTCAGCAAAAGAAAAAATTACGCATGGAAAGAGTTCAAATTTATCGAATAGATTTTATTTCCGATTGTTTATAGCAAGTTCAATTATTTTAAACAATGTACATAAACAAGAAGTACTCTATAACCTTCCCTACAATGCTCTGTACATTTATGCAAAATATAATCACGATCGGAATAACCGTTCTAGAGATTACCCCGAACAACAGGGAGTAACAAAAAATCTGTACCACAGTGAACACAAAATGTAAATGGGATATAGTAAGGAAGTAACAAGTTACGTCACTTTTTTGACTCATCGGTGACGTACCAAGTATATAAAATTTATTTCTTTTGTTATGTACCTAATTGTGACTTCTATGTTACGCAACTTTTACATGACATTGTGACTGTCATATAACGTCACGACTAGGACGGCTATATTATCTCGATGTGACTAAACAATGTTACTTGGAACGAAACGTCACAAGACTCTCATATTATGTTTATGTTATATCTCTGCCGTTATCTCAGTGTGACATAGCATCAATAAAATAAAGAAACATCAGCGTAATGTAACTTACGTTGCATATATGTTATATAGATACTAGAATACATACATCACTTTATGTGAATATTATATTTTGTTCCATAACTTAGCGATGTATCTTATATGTTTATGTACATGCTTATTAGCAATACATAACTTATATTATGATCATATAAAATACACATAATAACATCGGTTTCGTTTTTTAACTTCCGAGTGGGAAGTTATTGTAATGGGTCCGATTTTGCGAATCCTGAATTTTGACATATCTCTACGTTTTAAGGTTCCTAGAGTCAGAATCAAAAAACTGAAAAAAGCTAAATCTTATCATTCTTGCCACTGGAAAGTTAGTCGTGTGGACCATTCGGCTCACACCGAGACCACTGGAGAGCACTGATATTTTTTTTTTTGAAATAATCTAAATATATATTCATTATTAACATAATTATTTGTCTTGTTATCAATATTATTAAATTCAAGAAAAATATTTACCTATGTAGACCAATATTCTTATTTAGATACCAAGTATTAGGATGGCCGAGCGAGTTAAGGCGTAGATTTAAGTTGTATACGTGCGAGCGGTCGTAGATTCGAATCTCATTATACGCGAAAAATTTTAATTAAACTTAATAAGAACAGAAATAAAATGAAACAAGTGTAATTTAATTATATTGGCAACATCAACAGTTAAAAAAAATTTTATTCTCTCATGACTCTGTAAATAATGTACTTTTTATTTTTATATATAATTAATTTATTTATATAATTAATAAAAAAATTTTAAAACAACAAAAAAGTTTGAAATCAAGTGAAGTACCATGTCATCTATAGAATTAAATTTTTTCTTTAATTCTAATGAAAAATATAGGAAAATGCTTCTTTTTTTCAAAAAAATTCAGAATGTTGGATTTATTAAAAATTTACTAGTAGTATGTGCATTGTTAATTGTTAAAAAAAATATTTCCAAGAACAATTATGGTCATTAGAGAATTAATTTTTTTGTGCTATTTTTTGATAATAATATATTTTTTTAATTGTTTTTTAAACAATTTTTTTGATTGTTAACAACTTTTTTACTTCTTATGTTTTTTTTCAGTTACTTCATTATTATTTTTAAGTAGCTGTAGCTTATTGATGTTTCCTAAAAATTTTTTATAAGTACTTATTACTAATTATAAAATATTTTTTCACATTTCTTTCATTCATTTAAAATTTGCAGATATTTATTTTTATTTTTTCATAAAAAAATGCATTTTACGCACTTTTTTCTTCAGCTTTGGCACCTTTTGTGTGTTTATCACCACTCTCGCTACGTAAGCGGTGAAAAGTGAAAAAACGCAATTTGCCAAACTTTGACACTCGATAAACAATAGTAATTATTTTTTTTCAGTAAAAAAAATTTGCACAAATGCTCTCCTCATCATCTTTTATAAGAATCTACAACCAAAAATTTTTTATTTTTATTCTATTATTAATACACGATAGCATAGGGATTAAATTTACGGCTACTCAACTAATAGAAACTTTTTGTTTCTTCACCTATGGAATCAGATTGCATCTTATTGTGCAGTATTTGAACATAAAAATAATTATTAACTGTTATTTTCCCTTTGAAGTCGTCAAAATCTTATATAAACCTTAATCTGATGTCCTATATTGGATTCGGGTTTCTTCAATGGGGAAAGAATACTTAAAAAATACTTTTCTATGAACATACTGTCCAATTAGATACCGTACGATTCTATATATTAAGAAGCAGAAAGTTTCTATAGTTTTTGGATAACTTCAATGGAAAAATTATACTTAAAAACTTTCTAGTGGGAAATTATGGTGATGGGTCCGATTTTGCGAATCCCGAATTTTGAGATATCACGTTTCAAGATCCCCAGAGTCGAATACAATAGTTTTTGAGTGGACCTCCGTGTGTGTGTGTATGATTAGGTTTTCAGAACAATCGATCAAGCTGTTTTTTTGCAGAATCAAAAAACTAGTAAAAAGCTAAATCTTATCATTCTTTCTACTGGGAAGTTAGTCGTGTGGACTTTTCGGGTCGCAACCAGACCACTAGAAGGCTTTAATTTTTTTTATATTCCAGTACTGCTCAAAGACATTATATGTAATAATTGTTACATAATAACCGAACTGACTTATAATTAATACAGTTTTTTTCATTTTTCTTTATAGTTATGCAATGTAACAAAAATATATGTTTATATTGGTCCATATTCAATTTGGGAATCAATGATCAGATTTTTTTTCTGTGGTTATAAGATCTTATAAAAATGTTCAATAGGTTTACCTTTAATTTGATAGGAAATTTCGAGAGAATTATAATCCGATTCAATAACATCTAGTCCTACTGGAAAGTTAAAAAGGAAGGAAAAATATTGAATAGGATTATAAAGTTAGTATTAGATTATTTTTATGGCTATAGAAAAACTAAAAAGGTTTCTATATATCTCTATGAGACAATTGAATGGGATTCAATGGATCTCTATGGAAAATGCACTTTTAATAGGATTCAACAGGAAATTTTCCTATTCAATTTTTATTTACCTATAGGATTGTTTAAGCATATTACATACATATATATAAACATTGTTACGTTATTTTTTTAATAACGTTCCATCGTTAGCTTCAGAAAATTTTTAATGGTCTTCGAGGCTGATAATTGCCAATAAAGTATGTTCTAGTAACAAATTATGAAGAAAATTTAATTATTTTAAATTCACTTGTTAATCATTATTTTAAGGGTAAATATTAAATCATTCAATTTTTTTTTATTTTTATTCAAATTTATAAGTCATAATAGTCATCTAAATGTATTTTTGTGTTGTTATATTAAAAACTCTGGTTTTATTGGCGTTTTGTAGCGTAGGATAGTCAGTTAGGAGTTATTATTGGCTATTTGTTGATTGAGTTATTAGAATTGTAGAATTTATTAATTATTTATTGCAAACCAAGGCTGATGGATTCATTTGTTTATTGGGATTAGCGATTAAAGTCCTAATAACACAAGAAGAAGCTGATTTGAGAATACCAATTGAATTTTTCAACAATACGGACTATTGAAAAAAAAGTTGGGAGGCTGTAGTAAAGTAGAGGACCAAAAGCAACGTACTATCCCGCAGTTTTTCCATGCTAGGAGACGTCCTAGCTCTAAGGTTTGTAGTCATGAGGCTGTTGCCAGTAAAATGGAAGTCGTAGAAAAAGATGAAAGTGTGGAAGAGATTAAAGCTTAAGGATTTGAGAATGCATTTTTGAAGAAGGTCAATTGTGAGCTGAGCTCGTAGACAGTCGAGTGAAAGCCTCGCCTGTGAATGGTTAAGTGTACCAACTGAGCAAGCAGGGATCCACCACACAGAATAAAGACCAGCAATGATTTTCTATCCCAGTAGAAGGAAGTCCAGAACAGCTCGGACTACATTTGTCAAAAGCTAAACATCAAAATCTCTCTACGGAAGGTGTAAGTTATTAAAAAGTAAATGCAATGGGTCAAAAAAATAAATTTGTGGTTAGTTGAAAATATATAGTGGTATAGAAAAAAATCCGTAAGGCTTGGTTCAATCTCGTACTCGTTAAGTTGAGGTTAACTGTGGATTCGATCGGAGAAATTTATGATTTAGTTCAGTTGATTTGATTTGAAATTTGGTTATTATTAAAGATTAAGATATTGCGTTATTGAGTTTAGGACTTTGAGTCATGATTCATCCCGAAATATTTTATTGAAAAAGTACTCTTTAGTTAGTATATGTAAGTGTTGAGAATTAATCAATTCTCAGTTTTGAATTACCGGCTGATAGGAACTTCGGCGGCCATCGTGGCACTGGGTTGATAACCAATCGACCAAATAATCAATATTTCTTAATCTAGTCACTCATTTGACTAATTTCCAGTGTCCATTTTGACTACTGAAGTTCCTGTCGCCATTTTTTTTCTGTTCTCATCTACGTGTACACGCAATTTTAATTCTTATCTAAAAATTATATCCTTCCTGAGTCAATCTTCAGTGCTAGTGTAATTCTGAATCAATAAATACATTCACAAGTTCATTCTATTAGTGAATCAATAATCATTTAAAGACGAGTCACAGTAAATTCGAGTAATTCATTGAATTTATTTTGCATTGCATTGATAGGCAAACGCCACGTGCACAATCATATCTTTTATTGACTTGAGAAGCGTGTTGAGCTCGTGTGGAAGGTCAATAATACCAAACACACCAAGTTAAGCATTTATCAGACATTCAACAAAAATTCAGTAAATCGAAAATTGACATTCAGTTATTTCTAGAGCCATTCAGCCATTTATTCAGTGACGTAACAAATTGTACCGTGTATATTGTTCATTGTTAGTGCAGAAATAAAGATATTAAATTTTTTATGAAACCTGATTTCCCAATTGCTCTGATCCAGCACAATCATCCCTATCTTTAAACGCTCAGGTTATCCAAAGTTGAAATTCTCTCAACACATATATATATGTATATATATGTAAGTAATGAAAATAAAAAGAAATCATTTAAATTTCATAGTAATACTATATTACTGCTATTCTTCTCCTTTACAATAAATCTAATTGTTATAAATAGAAGGAGTAGACTTTTATGCATTCTACATCATTTATAACTTTACTTTTATTAAAAAATATTTCCTTTTGGGAGAGTTCAAATACATTGAATAGATCCCGTTTTTTATTGTTCATAACAAATTCAATTGTTATGATAGAAAAGAGTATTTTCCATTCATTTTACATGGTTTGTAATTAAATTATAGTCAACGAAAAAATTACGCGTTAGGAGAACTAAAATATAATGAATAGACCCTGTTTTCGATTGTTTATAAAAAATTTAATCATTACAGTTAAATATAGTACGTAAATAGTCATATAACACGGTCAATATCATTTTTTAAGTAAAAGAAAAGATCACGCGTGGAAAGAATTTATATATATTGCTTAGATTCCTTTAACTTATATCTCCCTCTCCACTTTTGTTCGCCTCGCCCGATGACATTTATCATAAAGCTCTTATCACGCATTCACTAGCTTAGTCTCCAAGTTAAGCGTGTGTAAAGAAGTTTTACTTGGAAAAAAAACAGAACAAAAGAAGAGAATATTTGGGACTTTGTGTCTTAATATTTTAATTAAATATCGAAGAGCCTGTAATTTTTTTTGTCAGAAGTGTGATGTTACTTTATCCATTTACGGTGGCAAACAATTTTTGATACTGTTGTAATGATAACAATTAGTACGAAGCGGTAGAGTCCGCAAATTTTTTATAATATAACTACTGTCAAAAAAGCGACAATACCAGTTACACTACCTGGTAGCTATGTAACCATAAGCGTAGGGAATTGATCGATGTTCAGGAGGTGAAAGAGAGCGATGTCCAGTAGGACTTTGTGATCTGCCTCTGTATCTAATATAAGAAGATTCCATGGGTGCTGCGCTATAAGATCTGTGGCTTATCATTCCATGTGACTGATCATCCTATGAAAACAATCAGTATGTGTCAATATTTCTTACTTAATATCTTATAATTTATTTTGATGCATTTATTACAGCTTTACCTTTTTGTATGCCATGTAATTAGATGTTGTAATACTATGATCACGGGTAATCATTAGTGCGGCTCTTTTATTGTTCTGAGTCAACATATCTCGACGACTGCAGCGTTCATTGTCTAGAATTCCATATTCCTTCTCAGGTGGTGGACTAGAATAGTGGCTATTTTAACATACAGTAATCTTTATTACTACAAATATAGAAATATTAAATATTGAAAATATATATGGAAAAGTGTGCAATTCTATCGAAATGTTACTACGTATTTATATATACATAAATATATTAATGCACTGTGCTTTAGATGAAATCGATTTTTGAGAAAATCTGACGTGTTGTTTCTTTTAATAAATTTGCACTCTTTATTTTTAATAAAAAAAAACTGGCCTCAGTGTGAGTCGGAACATCTACATTATTATTTTATTAGTGGAAAGCAACAAAATTTTTAAAAATCACTCAATTTTTCAGAGAAAACTTATAAATTTCGGAAATCGGTTAGCACTTATTCAGTTCTTTTACTTGGCATAAAAACGGCTTAACGGATTTTTCTCAAAATCTAATCAGGTTTAAGGTACATATATGTTTATTGCATAAAACTAATTCAATGTCGATGTTGTGACAAATATAAAAAATAGTAACATTTTTTTTGTTGACTATTTTAATATTACTTTATTTAGATCATTTGCATTATCGCATCACAAGACCATAGTTTAATCGACTTATGTCCATGTATGGTCATGAATTTAACCAAGGAAAGTGATAATAAAAATAACAACAGCAATTGTTTTTTACAACGGAAAGCAATAACATATCATGAATTCAGAAAATGAAACGGTAGAATCAACCTCATTCTGTACAATGTATGTTACTTAATAATTGACATGAATACGTTCAATATAATCAAAATTTCATGCATCTATACAATCTTGACAGTTATGCCCAGTTTTTGGTTGTTATGTTAATTGTATCATAGAACGTACTAAATTAAAAAAAAAACAAATTGAAGAAACAATTTATTTTAAATATTGTTAATTTTTGGATGTAAATACTTGGCGTTCAATAATTTTAGGATTTTGTGTAATTTCATCATTGTCATTCTTCACGCTTGGGCCACATTTTCGTACAGCCTGAAAGATTGGGGCTGTCTTAAAATACATTTCTCAATTTTTTGTACATATTGTAATGTGTGAATGTATTTAAATTGTTTCACATAATTATTTAAAATATATTTTAAGAAAAGCTAAAAATGAATAGCAATAAAACTTAAGGATTGAGGTAAACGATTATTACTCAAGTTATTTTTTGAGTTTTCCTTAGATTTCGTTAAAATAGAAAGGATTTCGAAGAATAGTTGAGGAAATCATCTTTTAGATATTTTATTGCTTTTGGAAAACCCACGTGGCGAAAAGCAATAAAATTTTTAAAAAAAGAGTACGTGACGTAAGAAGAGCGTTAGCTGTTCCAAAAAAGAAAAAGACCATGCGGAGGGACTTGTGCGTGCCTGAAGCAAGGGACTTCTAATTATGTCACATTCGACTAAATAAATACGTAAGGTTTGATGCATCAGTCAGTTGTCGAAAAAGTAAGATCGAGATCAGATCGTCGTGGAACATCTCTTGAAATCATAAGTCTTGAGTATTGTATTGATAATACTTAAAAGTTTGTAAATTTTTGTATGAAGTTTATTTGATCATCAAATTATTTTTAAATTGATATTTAAATTAATTCGCGAGAAAAAGTTAATAATTGCGCTGACTGGAACATCGACTAAGGACCAATTAATTGTAATTCATCTCGACCAGAGTAGAAGAAATCATCTGTTGGTAACGTTTAAATTGTTGTTATAACTTTACAATAATTTTCATTCAATAAAATGTTGTTATTGTTTTTATATATCTCACACATTTTTACTTTCTCTATCGAAGATTCCCTCATCCCTGTCTATTGGTCGAAAGGCTAGGACTAAAAAGAGGAACTTAAAGTCTCTAAGATCAAGCATATGGTTTACATATTGACCCCTTTAAACAGTAAAATTACATAACAATATCAAATAAGAAAAATAATTTGATAAAATAGGTCTGAGCACACTTTGTCTGTACTAACACGACGAACTTTCCATTAGTAATTGTTTATAACAAATTTAAATAGTTATAATCAATGTTCGTTGAAAGCATCCAAATCCATGTGATAAACACATTACTTAATCGATAAATACAATTTTTAATTGTTTATAACAAATTCATATTGTAATAAACAATGTGTAATTGTTGAAAGTCATATTTGATTGTGAACAACGATGTCTAATCAGTATCGCCACAATTTTCAAATGGAATTGTTATTGTTTGACTTAAAAGTATTTTGAATAGCTAATCTATTCATTTTTCTATGAGTTATTTTGTTATAAAAAAAAAAATGGCTCGATCGAATTCGTTCGATTTTCTTTCAAGTCTTCTTTATAATAATATCTTTCGAATTAATTTTGGTTGAAGTTGAGATCTTGATTCGTTCTTAAGATATCGAAAACGAAAAAAATGCTGACGTCCGTACATACATACATACATACATACACACATCATTCTAAAAATATGTCAGTATGCTTGCAAATATCTTGAAACGTGGAGATTTGATGAAAATTCAAATTTCACTAATCGACCCAATTTTAATCTTCTTAATGAGAAGTTAATAATATAAAAAAAATCAGGAGCTTCCCATCGTTTAACTAAAACTCTATCTTTTAATTCTAAAGAATTCCAATTAAGTAAATAAAGTTTAAAAGTCGAATCTAAATGAGAAACATCACTAAATTCAGGAATTTTATTTTCTTTTTTGAATTCAATTATTACATTCAAAATACTATCATCATTCTGAAATTCCATCCGATCGGAATTATTAGTAATTTCACAGATAATACGGTGTAATGTCTAAATGTATTTTTAATTATTTCATATAATTATTTAAAATATATTTTAAGAAAAGCTAAAAATGAATAGCGATAAACTTAAGGATTGAGGTTAACGATTATTACTCAAGTTATTTTTTTTGAGTTTTCCGAAGATTTCGTTAAAATAGAAAGGATTTCGAAGAATAGTTGAGGAAGTCATTTTTTAGATATTTTATTGCTTTTGGAAAACCCACGTGGCGAAAAGCAATAAAATTTTTAAAAAAAGAGTACGTGACGTAAGAAGAGCGTTAGCTGTTCCAAAAAAGGAAAAGACCATGCGAAGGGACTTGTGCGTGCCTGAAGCAAGGGACTTCTAATTATGTCACATTCGACCAAATAAATACGTAAGGTTTGATGCATCAGTCAGTTGTCGAAAAAGTAAGATCGAGATCAGATCGTCGTGGAACATCTCTTGAAATCATAAGTCTTGAGTATTGTATTGATAATACTTAAAAGTTTGTAAATTTTTGCATGAAGTTTATTTGATCGTCAAATTATTTTTAAATTGATATTTAAATTAATTCGCGAGAAAAAGTGAATAATTGCGCTGACTGGAACATCGACTGAGGACCAATTAATTGTAATTCATCTCGACCAGAGTAAAAGAAATCATCTGTTGGTAACGTTTAAATTGTTGTTATAATTTTTCAATAATTTTCATTCAATAAAATTTTGTTATTGTTTTTATATAAATCACACATTTTTACTTTCTCTATCGAAGATCCCCTCATCCCTGTCTATTGGTCGAAAGGCTAGGACTAAAAAGAGGAACTTAAAGTCTCTAAGATCAAGCATATGGTTTACATATTGACACCTTTAAAGAACAAAATTACATAACAACGGAAATTATTTTCATTGGAAGAACATTCTTTATTAGCATAAATTTTCAAACATTTTTTGCAATCACATGGACGTCGAGATAAAGCATTAGCATTACCATGACTTCGACCAGGTTTATGCTGAACTTCAAAATTATATTGAAACAAAATTTCTAACCAACGAGCAACTTGATCTTTAGGATTTTTGAAAGAAAGTAACCAGCTAAGAGGTGCATGATCAGTTCTAACTGTGAATCGTTTACCGAGAAGAAAATGACGAAAATGTTCAACCGAAATAACAATAGCTAACAATTATTTTTCAGTAACACAATAATTTTGTTTACGACTATTTGAAGTCTTACTAAAATACGCAATAACCTTGTCTTGATAAAAAATTTCACTATTTTTCTTAATTGGAATTTTCTGAGATAGAACAGCTTCAGTACCAACATTAGAAGCATTTATGTCAAGAATAAATGGAAAATTAGGGTCACGATAACCTTAAATAGGTGTAGTAGTTAAAATTTGTTTCAATTTTTGAAAAGTTTGAAGAGCTATATATTCCAAATAAAATCTTTCTTTTCCTGACTAATAAGATATGAAGGTTGTGCAATAGTAGCAAAATCTTTGATCAATTTCCTATAATACGAGCAAAGTCCAAAAAAACTCCTTAAGTTCACTTTTATTTTTCGAAAGAGGCCAATTAATAATGGCAGAAATCTCTTCGGGACAACTCTTTGAACCTTCACTAGAAACAATATGACCTAAAAAGACATTTTCTTCTTGGAAAAATATGCATTTCTTAGCATAAATTTTAAGTCCTGATTGTAAAAGTCTTTCAAAAACATTTTGAAGATGAATAAAATGTTCATGAAGATTCTTACTAAAGATAATTATATCATTTAAATAAACTAAACAAATTTTGCCGAGGAGACCTTGTAAAACTATATTCATAAGTTTTAGAAAAGTAGCAGGAGCATTACATCAACCAAAAGGAAGAACTATAAATTGCCAAAGTTCACTTCTAATACAAAAAGCTTTCTTCTCACGATCTTCAGGAGCAACTTTAACTTGCCAATATCCTTTCTTGAAATCAATAGTCGAAAACCATTGGGCACCGAGAACCATATTTAAAATATTTTCTTGATGAGGAATTGGAGTAGAATCAACACAAAATCTAATATCATCTCCTTTTTTAGGAACAAGAAGAACAGGACATGCCCAAGGACTATGAGAAGATTCAATTGCATCCTGTTCCTTTATTTCTATAGTGTTAAGGAAGACGACGAGGAACTTGTTTAATAGTAAAAACATTTCTAACATTAATAAAATGTTGTAAAATTTAAAAAATGAAGAATTAACAATCGTTATATCAGCAGCAGTATCAAGTAACGTATAACATT